TTGGTTACAAGAAGTTTCACTAGGGTGTATACAATTCACCTGTGACAAGAAATTATGCCGAATGTAGTAGCAGTACTTGCCACTTACATCCGCACGTCTAAACGCTGGCAAAATTATCGCTGTCTCAAAGTATATGTCAGGCCACTTAACTGTATAGCTTTCACTTACATAACTCCGGTGAGAGGTAAATGTTTTTGCTTTTTTATAAAACGAAAATGAAAAGTATTATTCTTCAATCAATTTTTTCACTATTTTTTTCTTATTCTTCCCAAATCGTCATCTGTTCAGTGGATAGAAATTATTTATGATTGTATTTCTTAACTACTGTTCTGACGTTCGTTACAGAAAGGAAAAAAACCCCAAAAAATATTCACAACTCTCCGCATACACGCCTTCACTATTTATAAACAATTTTGCATAAAAAATAGTAACATTTATGACTTCTTAATTTCATTCTTATATTATCATATTTATTTTTTTACTTTTTTACCCAGCAGGCATAATCTAACTTCCCATTCAGTCAAACAGACATGTATTTACAAATTCATATTTTGTGACTATACAAAAAGAGAAGCAAATTCATATTATTCAATAACAAAAAAATGAATACTTCCTACTATAGGAAGCCTATCTCATTCCCTTACTCTACGTTTTACCATACTTAGAAAGTATAGCCTACTGAGAAGTGAGAGTAACATCTTCTAAGAGCGTTTGAAAATGTGCAATGACTAGTCACAGCTATATATAAGGAATAGATGAATCAGTCAGGCGGCCTAGAATAGAGGCTTTCTATTTTGTTTATTTACTTTGATTTCGTCGTTTCTTAAAAACGATAACGATCTGATCAAAATGACGCAATCAGTCGAAAATTCCAAATTAATTAAATAAAATGTTCTAGTTGAAGTCAGAGGCACTGGTTTTTAGCTATTTATGGAAATTGTTACCCATTAATTCTAATAATTTTAAACCTTGGTACACAAACATTAGATAATTGTGAAACCTCAAAGAAATTAGAAGGGAAAAGTTACGGTATTCAGTAGCGTAGAATAACCTTCTTTAACGATGTAATTGTGCACAGAGTAAAAACTCAGTACTGGAACTAATATTTTATTTCAGGCAACAGAACATAGACACGTAGATCAAGTTTACGCTGAGATTGTGCATTTGAAGTTGTCTCAACAAATTACACGTTATACACAAACAGACTAGATAGAGTTATATACACAGACAGACGTAGACTGTCCTTTTCAAGAACGATTTCTTGGTGACGACCATACAAGTGAATTTTGAAAAATTCTCTAATGTATTAAGTCACCTTCTCTTCGATTGATTCATACTATATCTAAAAACAGCATAAACGAAGAAAAATTTTTAATTCAACTTTACACACTTTTTATCTCGTTTCACTAAACACAACTCCGTCCTGACCTGTCGCTCTTCTCGATTTAATGTTCCAGAAAGATAGAACTCGAAAAATTAAATAAAATTAAGCTTGGAAATTATAATAAAGCCCCGTTCAGACCGCAAATGTAAACCTGGTCTGAATACCTTCGTGAGGAAGATAGATCCTTTGCACAGCTGAATACGCTTTCTTTAGTACCCATTAACACCTTCAAATTTATTTCTCTTGATCTCTCATAATTCACTTCCAGCACATGCATAACAGCATAGTATATTGGGCTGCCTAATTAACTGAAAATATATATAAATTGAGCATAAACTAAGTATCAGAAATTCCAACTGGCAAGTTAAGTTCATGAGCAGGACCTGATAGAAGTGTATACAGCCCCATCCTCCAGTTCATTGATACCACCGGAAGATTCAATCAGTCATGATGTACTAAACCTTCATGAGCAGAATACCACATGGACAGAGCAGATCTCATAAGTCGGTTCCAAATTCTCTCTCTTTCTTCATTAACACTAGCATAATCTCTTTTCTCTATATACTCATTTTATTCAAGTGTGTTCACATAGAATCCGGCATACAATGGTATATCCTGAATTGCCGTATAAATGTGTTTCTCTGGCTGTTGTATTTTTTCTTTACCTTTATTTCGCGAATAAAAGATGTTTAAATGAAACTAGATTAACGAACCAATCATGTTCAGACACACACGATTGGAATAAAACGAGAGTGTAAATTAGTCATGTAAACAAGGCTTAACACATTAGGGTAGATTGAAAGAGTTTCGTTACGAACGAAAGATGGAAAAGAAATGAAAGCACTCTTTCAATCTGCTTTATTCGCATTTTCTTTTTTTTTTTTCGTGTAAGTTAAGACAGAACGAAAACGAACGGTACATAATGGAGTTTGGATCATAAGTGCATAGGAAATTAGTTACTTTTTATACCTAAGCAGATTCGACATCTGCTGTTTAGTTTGTTCAAAAAAAATTAATTATTCACAAACTATTGGGCTTAACTTTGTACTATAACTCGACACGAGCAGATAATCTAGCGTCACAGAACGCTTTGATAACCTGATGAAAAGTTGAATCATTCAATTAAAAATTAGTAAAAGCCTGGTTACCCGGTTTTACTCGCTTACACTTTCTTATACAAGTCTGAAAATAGGAGTGGCATCTACATAACATAAAGCTCATCGAGTTAGTACTTAAAATTATTGCTTAAGTTTCTAATTTAGATGACATCAAAAAAATAACGTAAAAAGGACTCGTTTTTAACTACAATGTGTCGCCGTTATGGAAAAATTGTCGAAAATGGCTATAAGAGGAACTGCCAAACGCAGCTAAACTTTGTAGAACCTGTAGTTGTTTAAACGATAGATTTTCTAAAAAGTAACAATTCATCAATTTAAATAAGTTTTTTCGCATATATTAAGTGAATATTACTCATTTATTATGGCGCAATATGACAAAACAGATAAATAAGTAAAGAAAATTGAATTAAATCAGTTTCAAGTTCTTCTTTTTGTTCATATTTATAATCATGTTCTAAATCATAGAGTTCACATATCCATAGAACACAAGTTTTAATAAAATAAGATGAAATACTATTATTATCATCTTGTTTTAGATATTTGTAATAGATGCGACGTGCAATGTCATTTAACTTCTTTTCAACCGTAGAACGTGTGTTAGCTAATATTGATTCAGCAATTGAAAATGACAAACGGAATTCATAGGAAGTTTGATGTTCATCTGTTAATTTTGACTGTTGTGGTATTGCATAGATTGATGCATGTTTTATTCGCTGATAATTTTTGGCTTATAATGTTGTAAATAGTTCATTTGTTGACGAATTATGTTTGGTCAAAATTGCAGTCGAATTCCAACCACAATATCACAATCTTCTGTTCTATTTGCCATACATTCGTCTATATCTTTCAATAGTTTTTGTCGTTCATCTTCATTGATCATATGACAATATTTATGACAGAAATCTCATATGAGACGAATTTTTTGTACGAAATTTGACGATATTGTTTAACGTAATGATCGGGTAACTCAACATGAAATAGATCAGTTGATAAGCTTTGTAAAAATTCTTTTAATTTCAAATCGAATATATTGGAAAGAAATAGAAAACAATGTTCAATATTTTAGTTCAATATATTTTTGTTCATCAAGCAATTGTTGATGAAATTCTTTGATTTTATCAAGAACATTGGGATCAATGGGCGGACAGACATCAGAAAATCGAAAGAAAACACTCGCTTGATCGATTGAAGCGGATGATTGTTGAATGGAACGTAGACTTTTGTTTTATTATTGAATAAATAGTTCGTTTCAATTGGTAATCATCAATGAACAATTGATTATTGAACAAACCATTTGGTAAATTATTACGCTTATCCAGATGAACTACAATTATTCGTAAATAACCACGTGCTTCAGCGATGTATATAATTTGATTTTCATTAGCAATTACAGTTTTTGTCATGTACACCAAATCATGTTCACAGTCAACACCTTCATCAGCTATCAAACGAGCTGTATATTGACCATTACTCATGCTGCCAGACAAATAGAACGAAACATCATCATCATCATTTTTTCTACCTAGTGATGAACCCATTCCATGTGATAACATGCTTCTGAAATAAAATACATTATGGTGACTCAGAATAAATATACACCGACGTGTAACAGAAAGTAAATAGAATTTATCAGTTTTATGTCTATTTTTTCCTTCTTGAATAAAAATAGAAAACGAAAAGAAGATAAAGGTGTATAAAATCTGGAGCGTACAATTAGGTGATAGCTCTTTGGTCACGTTAATTTTTGTCCCATAGACAAAAGAACTTTCGTCACATGTGACGAAAGCGTATGGCATTTTTGGGGCAGTACCCCGAAGAGACGTTGTCCTGGTATTAAGACAGGATCAGGAGGTCTCACACTTTGGTCACAAAAGTGATGAACTTTCATAACGACCTGTGTAACATACCGACAACTATCGTCACATCCCCATCGCGAACTTTCGTCACAACCCACAAAGAACTTTCTTCACACTACTAACATAACGGCAAATAACGTGCTATAACGTGTGACGAAAGTTCATGTGCATAACAGCGCTTCAAGCGTTGAAGCGAAAAAAGGTTCTCTTTTTCATAGTGAACACAAACGTATATATGCACAACGAAAAAGTAAAAAACATAATTGTTAAACGTACAGAACCGTTTTTGTGCAAAAGCAATGTGACATCGGGAATCTACGAGTATATTATAAATACTACGAATATATAATTCGATGCATTTTGAAAATAAAGTTTTCGTCCAAAATTTTAGGCAAAACACGTGAGGGGAACCTCCAGCTTCGTGGGGAACTCTTTGCCTGCCTTCAAGCTCAAACTTAGGTGAAAAAGGGTTTTCCACTTGCCCGATGCGAATATCACAGTCTACCGGCTGGAATCCTTGCAGATAAAATGCAAGTAACGTGTAATATCTTCGTCATTTCTTCATATCGGCTAACAAAGGGTGTTTCATAAGTTCTGCTCCGATTTGCAAGCTTTGATTTTCAATGGTTACAAAACTGGTTTTTCGGGAATTTTGAGTAAGTTTTCTAAGAGCCTTGAAAAACCGAGTCTTCAAATAATAGCTTTTTCCTGGATACTCGTGCAATTAAAATTTTTCTGAACATACAGCTTTGTAGAGCAAACGTTTCTGATCAAAATAAGACCTCGCACAACTCTGTATGACCTTGCACCAAAACGTTACAGGCATTTTCCTAGAAGACCTAAAATTCAGTATTTCATACAGCGTTTAAAATAGCGTTTTCCCTATGTAAGAGTTACACCTGAAGTACGTCCCAAGATTTTTAATAGCGGTTTGTCGTAGAGAGTTCGTGGAGAGTTGTTTAAAAGAGGAAAAGAAACTACATCGACTGACCGGCGTCGATTTTTGAATTAGGTCTTAGCTTTATGTCAAAGTAAGGATTTTTAGGGTTTTGAAGGTTGTTGGTTGCCTGGAAAACCAAGAAAGGCTTAACTGAAAAATCGGCGCCGGTCAGGCCATGTAGTTAGGTGTCTAGCTTAAAATAAAACAAACCGAACTCTTCAGCTTAAAGTATATTAAAAATCTTGGGACACACTTCAGGGTCTTTTTGGACCTTGATCTCTGGAAATCTAGCTGTCGATAGTATATTTTAAATAGAATCAACAGTGAAAACAATAGATAAATCAACGATTAGAAGGAACAAAATCTGTTTCCATCAACTCCGTTCCACCGTCAGACAGCAAGTGTTTATTATTACTATTCTAGGTATTAGCAATACCAAACGTTTTCAGTCTCCGTCTTAGTCTTTTACAGTAAAAAAAATATTTAATAAATATTCATAAATGGTCCTCTTCCAAGCCTCCAAATAGTCCTGATTTAAACCCGTTGAACTATTCCATTTGGGACTATTTCCAATTTGTTCGCGTAGTCAATGGGGACAAAGTGATGTCAAAACTAATACTTACTCAAGAGCTAGAACGTGCAGTCTATTGAGTTTGTAGTGGTCGGTTGTCTATGACCACATGTACATGCAAAACGATATTGCAGACACATTTAAGAGTTTTCTATTCTACCTATATAAAATAGCTAACATAACCCTCTTAGAAACCAGAAATGCCTAAAAGACGGGTTAAACTAACTTCATGTTGATAGTTTTTGAAAAGACAAAGAAGCACTGGATTTTGTAGCCCTTGAAAATCTTTGCTGAATGATGCGCTGCGTGACGACTTGTCATAAACTGTTAGTCTGCAAATAGAAGTGAAAGGTACCCGAATGATGTTTGCTAGTATTCATTAGCACTAAATAGTAATAAATTAGTGCCTTAAAAATACTTTTTTTCCATAAAAGTTTCACAACAGATTATTGTCTATCAAGCAACACAAGAATGACATTTTTACGATTATTTTTAATCTAGCTGCGAGCAAAATGTGAACTATCAACTCAAATGCTAATTACAATTTAAACTTGATTAATTAATAACTCTGCGAGTACTGATCAGTTCATCATGAGAACCTAAGAATATATGTAGTTAGGTGTCCTCTTTAAACTGACAAAGTTTGACGATAACTTAGTATTTATCAAGTTGATTTATACTCGACCTGCTATCTATTTAGCAGTCTAAATAGCTAGCAATTCTGTACAAAATGAAATGCTGGCCAAGTTTCTGCGATCTTTGCTTTGGATTTGCAAAACCTCTGACTTGTCCAGCTCTGATGTGTATCGGTAGATACTGGCGCTAACACCAGTTCGTTGGGAAGTTAGCATTCTGTGAGCGAGGGGGTAGGGATTGAGTACCAATCTTCTGCGCATCAAACAGGACTGATATGATACCTGCTACATTCTGAAACAACAAACTCTCAAAGCTGATGCCCAGTGAGGATTTGTTCAAAAAAAAAAACAATGGGATTCGAAGAGTTTAAACAATAATGTATACAGAAAACTGCATTATTGGCGTTGTCGCGCGCAGATGAGCGTTATCATTCGAGATATGACCAAGCAGCAAATGTTTAATTTCGCTCAAAATATGTTCTCCAATAACGTTAACTAAAGTTATGAGAGTGTATTCTACAACTTAATAACTGTTTGTTATATTTGATGTAAACGTTTTTTTACAAATAATTGTTGCGAAACGAACATTTGCTCGCGGACAGTTACTCATATGACAAGTTGCTCGCATGGACTGATGCTCGCCAGGACAGATCCTCGTTGGACATTTGCTCACCGAATACTTTAAGTAGAAACAATAATGTAGTTTATGAAATGTATTCAAACTATTAATAATTCCAGCAAGTAAGAGATGGCTGTAAACTGTCTAATATCCGGAGTAGTACAAGGCTCCATCCTTGGCGCTCCGTTATTCCTAATATTCATTAATGATCTTCCTAGCGTTGTCGACCTACCGGCTGATACTATCCTCTTTGCCGATGATTGCATCCTTATCTGCCCTATAACAGCGACAAGCACATATCAATTCTGCCAGAGTAACATAAACAAAATCAGTGATTGGTGCAGCTCCAGTCTTATGACTCTAAACTCGTCAAAATGCGCGTGGATGTTCGTTTCCAATAACCCTGATAAAGCAAATAATTTCAAATTTACCTTACCGGATGGCTCTAACATAAAGCACGAGGAAAGCCTACTTCTACTAGGGCTCGAAATAAGCTCTAAACTGAATAGTAATAAGCTCTAAACCATATAGTAAAACTTGTGCGGACCTGTCGGCAACGCCTTGGCGCTATGCACAGACAGTTTAAACAAGCACCCGCTCCTATCGGTCTTCAAATCTATAAGAATTGTATCGGACTAAGCTAGATTATGCCTGTGCCTTGTATGACACCGCTTTCACCACTCAGGTGTCTCGTCTCGAGTCCGTCCAACATCTAGCAGCCCATATGGTTACTCGAAACTTTTCCACTCCCGGTCAGAATTTAATTAGAAGATTGAATCTGCCTACACTTGATGACCGTTAATTAGAATTATGAATGAAAGTGTGCATTCCAGTGTTATCATCCGACTTTATGGACTATTTTTAGCTAAATTGATAAAGGAAGAAAATAATTTACATTCAGATATGGTGAATGCAAAATCTGGCCGTGAGTCAACGATCTAGAAACAATACGAAGCACTAAATAAGCGTTTACATAGTCTGGTGAAGATTATCATCCAATAATTTATGATCAGTTACAAGCTATCGGTAAGCATGCATCAGTTTTTAACTGGTGTCTGGACATGCGGGAGAATTGCTATACATCAGTTATCACGATTCTCTCAGAGCTGTGAAACATCTCGTTTTGTAGAAAACTGTTTGCTCTACAAAATGCATTTGTTAAAAAAATTCTAGAATCATTTCTAAAAAAACTTAGAGTATTCAAAAATACATTAAATAATGGGAAAAAAACTGTTCGAGCAGTTTTTTTTCAGTGATTTTGAACAGTTTAGAATACTCTAATAATAAGAATACTCTATAAAATACTCTATAGAATACTCTATAATAAGTTTTCTTAGAAATGATTCTGAAATTTTTTTAACAAATGCATTTTGTAGAGCAAACAGTTTTCTACAAAACGAGATGTTTCACAGCTCTGAGAGAATCGTGATAACTGATGTATAGCAATTCTTCCGAATGCTCCAACACCAGTTAAAAACTGCCTAGCTATCGGACGTTTAGTGTCGTTATAAATGGTCTTTTCTTTTTTGTTTCTTGTACATATGAGGGACGAATCAAGAAAAGCGTTTTAAGGGACAAAATGAGAAGGGACGAATAGATGCTAAACCGTATCAGCCGAATATAAAAGGGATAGTAGCCACACGTTAATTGTATTGTTCCGTTTGGTGTATATTCTGTTTTATCGTCTATTGCTATTTGATAATGTATGACAATGCGATAATCCAGACGAAGGTCGATGATGATGTAAACCCCTTCTCATAATAGAAAACCACCTGGTCGTCTATTTTGTCCACCAAGTTGAATTGTAAAGGGTGGACTTCTATTGCGGTCAAATTTTGTCGCCTTCTAATAGTCCACGAACTTCTGTTTAGCTTCCAAGTCAGATAATCGATAGTGGTCACCATTATCGGAGCGCGTTTAATCTTTAATCTA